AATATTATTGGAACAAGTTTAATTCAATTTTCATTAATAGCAGAATGCTGAACTCTTAGTGAACAACTCTTGAGTTTCAAAAATTCAAATACTTTCATTTCGCAAAAAATGTTTTCAATTACAAATATGAATGAAATTTTTAATCAACCCTAAACAAAGGTGTGTACTTTTCATACCCCAAATAATATTGCATACCGTTAGGAGAAATCCTAAAATTTCGCTCTAAAAAGCATTCTACTATCATTAAAGTTGATTTATTAGATTGCTAATTGGTTGTAAGGCAAGTTTTTGAATAAGAAAACGATTATTGTGAATTTCTTATTATTTAAATATAAGAAGGACAAAAGCATATGTGGAGAAAGAGGTGAATGAATAAAATATTTAGGCAGAAGAAGAAAGCAGAAATGAATTTTTTTTTAAATATTACGAAATACTTTTCGGTACCTACTCGTATAAATTGCTGTAAATTGGAGCAGTATAAACCAAAAATATATTAGATAGATTAAAAGTATGTTGGAATCAAAACTTTTTAACTCCCAAAAAATGATAATATAATCGAAGCTTTTATGTTTCACAATGACGATGTAAACCAAATATCAAATGCCTCCAACACTTGTGTAGTACAAATTCAACATTTTTAGAAACAAATGCCCATTATAGTTCAAAGCGCATTATACATATGTATAGGTGCACATAAAAATATACTAATAAAAATAAAAATTTAAAAATAAAAAGCATACCTTAAATAAAATATTATACGATTTTTAAAGTGCTTTCAGAGAAAAAATTGAACCAAAAAAAAAAAATAATATTTATGATGATGGATGGCTATTAACCGGTTGTTTATTTGTTTGTAAATTTGTAACTTTACCGGGCTGTTAAAACAGGAAGCTTTTAAAAATTTTCATTTCTCATTTTCCATTACTTTGACTTCTCTCAAAAATTTAATTTTCTTTTCTCTTTTTCTCTCTCTCTCTGTCTGATTGAGTAAGAAATCATTTTATTTTTTTTATCATGTATATCTATATATGGATAGAACATTTCATATTATACAAATTTAGGGGCTTTTTCCATATTAATAGTACGAAAAATATGTGGTACTCATCATAATATTACTATACTATGTTTACTCTAATGTTTCCGAAGCACACTCAACATTAATAGTTAAATTATAAACATGTGCATAATACTCGTATATATACTATCAAAAATATATAATGATATGTTGAATTGTGAGCTAAGTTTATAACAAATGATTTTATAGGAATTCCTGTACTTAAATGAGAATAGTAAGTTTCAGTATGAGAATAGATTCATATTAATGCACGAAATTGTAATTTTTTCATGAGCTCTTTTAAAAAAGTCGTTTAACAATTTCATTTTATCATAGTCATATTGAAAAAAGTCTAGGAGTATTTCGTGTAAACCGTATACTTAAACATGGTCCTTATATTGCAATACTTAACGCTTTTCAAAATGTTTGCCGTAAAGAATTGCGTTTAAAGGGAGCTCTTAAAAAATGTTATCAAGGATTTTAAACAACAGAAACGATTCATTTATGAAAAAACAGTGAGAATAAGCTTGAGAAGAAGATTACCAGTCAATTACCCCAACAGCATGTGCCAATTACAGCGCAAGCATATAACATAAATTTTTAACATTTTAAGTTTCTTAAATTTATCATTAAATAAAATTCTCATTACCTTTATGAACTGCGGAATTTTTCACCTTACTTTTACATACTTTGCCTTTTTACATTTATTTCCATTTTTTTTTTATTTTACAGTGATGAATGAAATCACTTTTTAAAAGAGCTTTAACTGAGAACTAGTTGTAAAAAATGAAAGAGAAAATCGAAAATTATACACTTAATTATTTTTACTTCTGCCTTGGTTGCATTTACAACTACATTCTCATATCCCACTTTTCATTATTTACAAAAAAAAGTTTTCCTCGTGTTTTTACTTTTTATCTCTATATTGAAAAAGATTATGATGGAATTTGCTTAGAATTTATATATATATATATTACAATATATATATGATATCAAAAAATATCAATGTGTTGGTGAAAAATTAAATACAAATTATAATTTCTTTTTTAATTTCTCTTTTATATATACGAGTAGGTTATTTTATCGGTCTAGTTTTATACTCGTAATAGGCTCAAAATTTTCTCATTTTCTCTATAATACATAAAATTTTTTCTTCTATTCTACTCTTTTTTTTTTTTTTTGAAAAAAAATTTTCTCTCTCAACAAAATTTTGAGAGAAGAATTTTTTATACTTTTTTCTCCAAAATGAAATTTTTTCAAAGAGTTTGGATATTTTTTTTGTGTAGAAGTTTTTCCTATTTATTGTGTGATTTTGTGTTTGGAAATTTTTTCAAAATAGTAAAATAGACAGTTAGACTACTAAGAGTGATCATTAACGCCATTATACCGGGGGAATATCTTTTTTTTGCATTTTTATATAAAAATAAGTGTATATCGAATATAAAAAACAAAATTAATTTTGGAATTAAGGAAAAAATTTTGGAATAAATATTTTTTTGGAATTTTTCGAAATAAATTTTGAAATTGAATTTTTATAAAAATTTTCTCTGAAATTTTCAGAATAAATTTTTAATTAATATGTATATCTAATTGTAATTTGTAAATAAAAATTAGTTTATAATTCAATTGCTTTCATTTTCTCTTCGAATTTTACTTCCGAAACAAAGTGCTGTGCTAAATTTTAAGAAAAATTTATGGAAAAAACAAAAATTATTTTCATTGTTTTTTATATTGTCTTTTCTTCCAATATATTTTAACACTGTCGTAATTGTAATAGCAAAATATTGTAAAAGAAAAGCAAAAAATTTTCCATTAAAACAAAATAATTTTTATACTTGAACGTATAGTAGTATAGCCATATACGTAAATTAAAAGAAAACAAGAAAAAAAAGAAATAAATAAATTAAAAAACAAAACAAAATAAATTTTATAAATGGTGGGCTTTTTTAAAAAATAAAATAACAAAAACGAAAAAAAAAATAATAAAGAAAATGAAAATTAATTTCGTATTGTGATTTTGTAGAGTAGAGCAACAAAAATTTTCACATATAATATTTTATATACATACATACAAACAATTATGTACGATTTACCGATATGGTAATGTCTCGTAATAAATAGATTAATATTATGTTTACATACAAACACACACAAACATTAATTTTATATCGCGTATAAAATACAGACGCAATTCTAAATATAAGAAAAGTAACAGTAAATTATAGTTACCTATAAAGTAACTGTTGATTATGTATTATTACCATTACATTATTTTTATCACATAATTTTTGTAATGAATTTTATAATAAACCTGTAAAAAGCTTTTTGTGATACAAACAAACAATAAAAATATTTTAAAAATGTGTTTTTCATTTTTAAGTGAGTAGTTGTGTTTACCTATGGATTATTGAGTATAGAGTTTCGGGAAAAAATATGCTCATACATTAAGATTCTTATATACAAAAAAAAAAAAAACTTAATAATTACAGATGTATCACATACACATACAAATTTAGAAAAAATAAAGAACTCTGACTTACATTTTTATTTTATTTTATTTATGAATACATTGATAATAATGAAAAAGAAAGAAAATAAAAGGACGAAGAGCAACAGTCTTAAGTAAAAAAATTTATGTACACATTTTTGTTTTTGTTTTTATAATAATAATGTTAAATATATGTAATATTTATGTAGAGCTGTGCATACTGAGTGTGTAGTGTACATAAAAATACAATATTAAATTTTTTTTGTTGTTATTCTTTTTATTTTTTGTACTTTTATTGTTTATGAATAAAAATACTTAAGAGTAACATTTTTATGTTTAGTTTTTTGTTTACATTAAATGGTTACGTTTGACAAAAAAAATTAGTTAAAAAATAGCGGATGCCAACAAAAACAAAATAAAAAAAAATAAATAATAAATGGAAATGCTTTTAGAGTAAAAAAAAATTTTTAAATTAAAAGGAAAATTTTGTAATATTTCAAAAAACAAGAAAAAAAAATATTAAAAAAAAATTTTACTTCAACACAAAAATGCATTTTTCATAAAAAAAAAAAAATTTTTTTTTAAATTTTTTTTATTAATTTTCTTCTGTATTATCAAAGTAAATTTAATAAAAAAAAATAAATAAAAATAAAATGAAAAAATTCTAGACATTTTCTTTTATTATTAGAAGAAAAAATTTTAAATTTTTCATTTTCAAAATTAAAATCAATGTTTGGCACTATTCCATATTGTTAATACCTACTTAAATAAAATAAATATATAAAGAGCAACTAAATACAAAAATATAAAAATAAAAGCAAAAAAAAAAATAAATAAATAAACTAAAAATATAATATTAAAATTTATTTTCATCTTCAATTTAAATAGTGGGTGTACACAACTAAAAACTTTGCAGTAAAATCATTATTATATTTTTTTTTTCCATTTATGTTTGTTTGTTTTTTCAACATTTTCAACCAAAAGAATTTATTTTTCCATTTAAATGAAAATTTTATTAAAATTTTTCACACTAACTAATAATATATGTATACACATATATAAATGGGTGCATGTTTGCAAATGCATAATATCAAATAAATAGCTGACATAATACTAAAATGCAAATTATTGCTATAAGGAAGGAAATTAAGGCAAAATGTTAAAATAAATATTTAAATCTTATTTAATATCCAGTCTTATAAAATATTTTCATAAGTACAACCTGTAACATTTTATATAAAAATAAAAATAAATAGAATTATAAATATATTACGATATTTAATTAAAATTATAATTAATTAATTTAAGAATTAAGAAAAAAAAAACAAAATAAAATTCAGTTTTTTTAAAAACATTACTGTAAATTTAAAAAAAAAATTATAATTCAAATTACTGTCGCATAATCTAACATTCAACTTTTTTTTTTGGTTTTTAATAATTTTCATCTGATTACAATTACTGTCATCAAGATTCAAAATAAGAAAAAAAAAAATAAAACGAAAAAATATTTGTTAAAAAATTAAAATTAAATTAATTATCCTTTTGTTTTTGTTTTTATTTTTTGTTAAATTAAATATCCGACCAATATGCATAGAGTATTAAGTTATCAAACAGCCATGAGGGCTAGCGGTTCCAGAGATATACGTGAATATGTTACAAAACGGACATGCGTTAGCCTTATATTAAGTATTGCGTTTTTCACATTAATAGCAGGTAAGCATGTATTCAAAATTTTTAAAATTGATTTTAGTAATAAAAATTATATATAAATAATTATGTGGTGATATTTACTAAGTTTATGTTTTGAAAACTGCAGGGCTTTAAAATCTCTGAATTTGATTTGCATATATGAAAATTTTCAAAACTGTGGAGTTTGCAATTTTATTGGCTATTATGGACTAAACCTATATAATCATGTCGTACGTCGACCATATTTTGTTGAATTTTTTTAAGATCTTTTAAAGTGTACTGATCTTTTCATTTGCAATACTACTGTTTCGCGATAAATTAAAAGAGACATCTATTGGAAGCAGGAATCATATTCAGTTTCGGTTCAAATCAGAACTCTTTTTGGATTTTTTTTTAAATTAAGAAAAAGATATGTTATATTTTTTCACAAATTAAAAAAGTCTTTGATACTGGTTGTTCGTCGCATGGTACTGGTAGTTCGTCATGAAGTCGAATTTCATGGACTTTCAAATGAGTGGCTCTATTTGCCGTGTAAGGAATTATCCCTTATATTATTTTTTGTTCGTTTTGAACTCATACTGCTGCCAGATTATAGTATTGAATCTCAGGGTCATTGTACTAGTTAATCCCGATGAGGTTCAATAGATTAGTTAACCTTTTACGCCCAATACTTTAATTAATTAAAAGATTTATTGAAACATTCCCAATTGCCAGTTAATTTACTAGGATCAATATGTTTAATATTGAATTTAAAATCTGATCCCAAAAAACCTTTCAAAAGTGAATAATACGAAAAATTTTCAAGAATCTGACTGAATTTCTATATGCAATATTTATAAGCAAAAAAAGATCTTAATCGAAATATTGCATATATGGTTTTAGTTGCATGCTAAAATAAAAAAAAATCTAATCAAGATTTTGATTGACTTTTTCTTTATCAACTCTTTTCGTTATAATAATTATAACAAAACTGTGGGGCACAAACGAATTTCTACAACTGTTTGCAAAATAACTATGTAGATTCACTCCTAACTAAACTATTAATATTATTCATTTCAATAATTTTAAAATCAGTTCATCGGTCTATACTTTTAAAACATAAAACTATTATTAATATTCAAAAAGGGCAGTGTATATTTTAAAACTTCGCCCACTAAAAAATATTATAAAATTAAGAAAAACTTTTACGATGTAGGAGTTCTTCTTGATATACATTTGTTATTGAAATTCAAATAAAACAAAATGGAAAAAAAAAATTCCTTTATTATGAAAATTTAATAGGTTAAATAGAAAAGAAATAAAAACGAAAAGACAAAAAATTCTGGTTTCAACTTGACGAAATTTCGACAAAATTACTAATAGCTATAGTTTTGTCTAAAAATTTTCTAAACGCTGTGTAATTAATTCTTATAACATAAGAGAGAAAAGGAGAGAAATACAAAACTTATTTGATTGCAATTTTAGTTTGATTAATACATACAACATGTTTAATTGGATTTTATTTTACTACAACCTGTTTGATTAATGCCATCAAATAGTGACAACGATATGTTTGTTAAATTTAATTGCTTATCAAATTTCATTTAAAATTGCAGTACATTAAATTTAATTCATTGTTTATAATTGCTTTAATGCCCATTAAATTAAAATAGTTGGAAATTAAATAATTTTTTATTTATCAATCACATTTAAATCAAGAAAATATTTTTCAATCATTTTCAAATCATTTATTTATTGCAATTAAGTTTAATAATAATGACATTGTCAATAGTGGCTTCAAATGTCGTATAGTGTTAAAAAATTGTCAAAATTAAATATTTTCATTTTCGATTAAATTGTCCCTTGTCCTTATGTAAACAACAAAACTATTATAAATAATTCCAAAAATATAACATGGAATTTTACTAAAATTATGAACATACACACATACATAATATAAATAATATTTCGTATTTTGTGTGTAGGTAAAATACATTATTTACTGAAAGTGCTAAATTATAGCTGTTCATTTTTATTAATAATTTCCTTTATCCTAGTTATTTTTTTATTATACCATTCATGTAAAAAAAAAAACAAAAAATTAAGTACATATGCTTGTTCATAAATTTTTTCTATATATACACAAAATTATAACACACACAACACACACACAGAAATAGCTTCACATACTTAAATTTTCATTTTATTTATTTAATCAATTCAATTAGTCAAAAGTGTATTGTTTTTTGTTAGGATATTTACTTGTTAAGTATAATAAAAAAAAAATATTGAATTCCTTACCATGTTTGAAAAAAAAAATAAAGAAAAAGAATAGGATAATGAGGTCAACATAAGGTCTTCTATATAAGCTTTCTATTTAGGTGAATAGTAGGTATTTGTTGTAAGAAATATTTTTATTTTCAACTCTGTTGGATATTATGGAAACATTAAATAATAATAAATTTATGAATTACCATACAAAATTGAGTAAAAACTAATAAGTTGATAAAAAATAGGAAAATAAAAAAAAATAATTTTTTTATTACTTTTAATTTTTTTTTGTTTTGAAGGATTTTGTTGAACATGCGGTGGGGTTAAACTGTTCATAGTCGTTTATAAGCAATTTGTAACAGAGTGATTGTACGTTCATAATGAAAATAATATGATTAATGATTTCAGTTTCATTCTAATTAATAACATTTCTAAGAACATTTCTGATTAATGAAGTAAAATTAAAAGAAAGGAAAAAACAATACAAACTATGATTGCTAATAAAAGTAAAACGAAAAAAAACAAGCCAAAAACTGAACATAATAAAGTGTTTAAACTTTAATTATTAATTATTACATTAGTTATGAGATTTCTAAAACAAAATTATTATTAAAAAACAAAAGTTATACAAAATACTCATACAGTAAAATCAGGTTTGGTTAAAATAAGTTCAAGGACGAAATTTTCATTTTATTCACCCTATATACATTTGTATTTAAAAATAAATCCCCTATGTATAAATTGACCAAATTTATTAGCTAAAATTGAATATCTACATGGCCTACACGTATTATAATTAAAGAGTTAAAAATAAATTCATGCTAGAACACCGAAAAATTTAATAATTTTTCGTTTTCTATAAATACCTTCTATATACAGTGGCTTATAAAACACTCATTGTCTTTTATTAAGACAATGAGAATTGTAAAAGGTGGTATGGTAACTTTATCGTACATTCCTAGTACTGCCAGGAAAATAGTCTTAATAGTGCGTAGAACATTTTTGTTATTTTTATATTAATGACACTGTAGTTATATTTAATATGTAGGAATTATATTATTAGCCTTTACATGAGTGGGGTTCTATTTATTGCATTAATTTTTATCTAATTGCAATTTATTGGAATTTTCCATATAGTTTGAATTAAAATATTGAATTACCTAATTGGATTTTTTTCAATTCTGTTATAACATAAATTTTTATATGACAACACAACAATATTTACAAAAAATCAGAGGAATGTTTTAGATCAAATTGTTATTTTTTAAATTTTACAAATAATTCTCCAATATTCACGACCAATTAATGATGTCTTTAAAGCTATTCTAAAAGGAACTTAATGGTAACAGTAAATGCATTTGTTCAGCAAGTGCAATTATTAATATTATTTACCGCTTAAACAGTGGAACTATAAAATTCGGTTAACAATTCTTTAAATTTTCAGTTTCATCCTTAAAGTATGCAATAAAAATTTTTTTTTTTTTTCCAAATCAAAATATAGGAATTAAATTTTATTGAAAAAAAAAATCATTTTTTAATGCACACATTCAATTTTTTCCAATATTTTTTGCATTTTTTCCAATCAATTCAATTTAAACAGCAAAAACATTTTCTTCGAATAAAGAATTTTCAAAATACAAATCTGACAAGTGATCAAATAGGTTATCGTTTTCATTACTCATTATGATAATTTTAGTGCAATAACTTTCAACTTATTGTTTACATGAACGAAAATAAAACACAAAAACGAAAAAGAAAAACAAAAAATTTATAACATAAAAAATAAAAATTAAATGTTTTTCTGTTTAATTTAAAATTATTAAATAAACATTTTGAAAATATTTTCCAAGCAATTGATTTTCATAAAAGTAAATATTATGTTTTTTTTTTTCAAAAAAAAAAAATTAAAAAGAAAACAGAAATATTTTTTCCATCTTATACCATTACTCATAAAAATTAACGGAAGAGTAAAGACTTTCCGTTTTCATGGCCAATTTGCAATTTTACTTTCGAAAGAAAAGAAAATTTGAAATTTTTGTTTTCTTTTTTTTGTTTTCAAAAAATGTTTACAATATAATAGAATTTATAATAATTTATTATTTTATACATCTTCTTTTAATAAAATTATTTATTAAAAAAATGCAAAAACAAAAACAAATTTTAAAATTTACCACAACAATGTGTGGTTTTTCTTACGAACTATCACGTGCTATAAAAAAATTTTACTCTAAATATGCTACAAAGTAAACAAAAATAGGAGTTTTCTCTCTAATATTGGTAATTCAATGCTTCTCTCTCTTTACTTTTAAAAATATGAATAATAATGAGAATTAAATTTGTTCTATTTGTTTGTTTTCAAATGATTTTCTCGCGATAATTACCAGAAAGAGGCAATTCCAAAAATTAAATGCTTTGATTATTGGATTGAAAAATTTTACAAAATTTTGTAACCCTATACCACAAATAAATTTCGCGTTACGCAATGGTCCTGCGTTACATTAATTTTATTTCAAATATTTAAACATAATTCATAGTCATGGAATTCGTCTTTGTATGTAATATTAATAAACAGCATAATATTTTAATACATACTGTTTTTATTTAATAAAGTCTGGCAATATTTAAAGTTCTGGTAGTGGCATTTTTCGCGAATAATAGTACCAATAACTTATAATAGAAATTAGTACGCTCTTGTTCACATCAAAATATTTCGTAATTAATGAAATGATTAACAATATAAGTAACCACTATGGAATTTGTATGAAATAAATCTT